ACGTAGGTATTGGTAGGTGGCATGGTGATTAAGGTGCTGGATTCCCACATGGCCAACTGCTGTTCAAGTCCTAGACATGGTGACTTGCTTTCTCACTTTCCTTCTTTCTGTCTCTCTCTCTCTGTCTCTGTCTCTGTCTGACAAGCACACGTGCTTTGAAGCGAAAAACCACTCCAAAAAAAAAAAAAAGATGGCACTTATTTTTTTTTAAACTTTTTTAGAGTTTTGTTTTGTTTTGTTTTGTTTTTGCTACAGGACATGTGTGCTCGCCAGACAGACAGAGACAGAGAGACAGAAAGCAAGAAATCACCCCCCAGAGGGGATGGCCATGCCGCAATTCCTTCTCCTCCATTCTCCTCTTGGGATCTTGGGCATGCACGCACACGCACCCAGTGTGAGTTTTAAGCCACTGGGTCTGAGACGCAAACCGCAGTCGACTACGTGGGAGTCCAGTGACATAGCCATTACGCTAACTGCTGGTCCCAAGATGGCAGTTCTTCATAACTTTGTCTATAGATTAGGACAATTTCAATTAATGTCCCATCAGTTGTTTCATGGAGATGTATGAAATAAGTCTAAAGTTTATATGCAAAGTCAAAACGTCCCAAAAGTTACACAAAATATTGAATTAGCAAAAAATCAAAGGCCTAATATGACTCAGCTTCTAGGCTTACCATACAGGTATAGTCGTCAAGACAGGGCGGTACTGTTGACAGAACAGACAGACAGAGGTAGGAGTGGTTCAGAAAGTCAGGGGCTGGGCCACCTTACCTGGGCAGAGCTTGTGGGCAAGGCGCTCAGCCAGCCTGTGCCCCTCAGCCAGCAGCTCTCGGAAGTCCTGCCCTTGGTGGTTGTCATTGTAGTTGTTGTTGAGGAGGTCCTGAAGGTGTTCAATAAGCAATATGGAGATATGTCTCCCTTCCCGTAACTGCTCCCGTAACTGGCTCAGCTTTTGACCTTGATTTCGAATTAAAATAGTGCATTCCCTAAGGTGGAATAGAGAGAAAATTAAGAGTGCAAAGAATTGAATGATAGTTTGGCACTTGACAGAGATTTCTGGGACAGTATCCCCAAAGATCCTTGCAAGCTGAATTCCAGAACATCTTGGGGACCTATCTGTGGCCAACGGAAAGAAACATGTAAAACAAAAGGCCTCCTCTGTATCTGAAGGTGCTCCTGTAGGAAATCCTTGACACGGCCTGCCGCTCCTTCCTCAGTAATCGGGTCCAGGAATCTTCCTAAATCTGCTTCTTAAGGAGACAGCTTCAGTTAGTCATTTTGGCCATAGACGTTTTATATAACGCACACATCAAATGCAATATGCCATGATGGACACAGAGCCACATGTGGAAACGAGGCTAGGGACCCTCAGTGTTAAGTGGAAGGAGAAAGAACAAAAGAATGGCAGGCTGAGAAGACAACATTATCTGAATGGAAGAAAAACCAGAAGCCATAGTCAGTCAGGAAGTGATTGTGATTAAGAGTAAATTAGAAGGGACCAGCAGGTGGTGAGGTGGCGAGGTGGCTAGGGGTACTGGACTCACACAGAGCAGACCACGGTTCGAGTCCCGGACCGACGCCTTGCTTTCTCACCTTCCCTCTTTCACTCTGTCTCTCTCTGGTCAAATTAATATAAATAAAGTTAAATAAGTATTTTTAATAGGGTAAATTAGACAGTGATTGTACAAAGTTGGAAATACACTACATGCCACTGAGTTGTCCCCTTGAATTTGGCTAATTTAATGGTATATAAATGTTTGCTATGAGTAAATAAAGAGTAGATAAACACCCAAGTGACTATGGCAGTCCGCAATTTGCTCTCGTTTTGTTCTCCACCTGTTCTATGAATATTTGTGCAGGGGATGCCTCTCGTGTAAATTTCTGCCCTTCCCCAGAAGGTTCTGAACGTCGGGGCCTGTGAGCACCTTACTGGGTGGTTGCCTACCCAGGTAGGCCCTCCGCTCTCCCCGCTGAGCTGCCCCGAGATTCATGCACCTTCCCACCAGCCCGGCCTGCCCAGAGATCCCCTTACCTCAGCTTCTCAGCTAATGTCCGCTCCTCAGCCCGCGGCTCCTGCTCCCACTGCAGCTTCTTCCCCAGCACGGACTCGATGACGTCTTTATTCTCCTCGCATTCTGAGGAAAGACAGACACGCCTGCCTCAGTGGACAACTGGACCTGTTGCTGTGATTTCTGCCTCCAGGGGAGAAGGCAGGATTCGTCCCAAGGATAATGCTAATCTCAGTACTAGGCTGCAGGGTAAGGGGGATTGCCCTCTCTCTATGTCTCAACATCACAATGACACGACATTTGATCCTCCCATCTGAGGGATGGGGAAAGAGAAACTCGAAAGCCCATATATAATTTAACACATTAGTTCAACTGTATTTGGTAGAATCAGAATGCGTATCCTCCGTGGTCTGACTCTTCTTTGTGGGCCAGGTTGCCAAGCCAGGTCTGCAGTTAGCTATAGCATGAAGCCGTGACTGGTGTATAGTCGGGAAGGCCCCTAACTAACGGGCTTTGTGCTTGGGATTTCAAACATAAGCAGGTGTCTCAAAGATACTACATCTAGATACCCTTGCGTAAACTGTAAGAGAAAAGCCAGTAAGGACCGAAAGTAATATGACAAACACCACAAATGTTTTTGGCAAATTGGAAGTACTAAAACTGTGAACCAGCAGTGTTCACTCTGTGCCAGGCACCATTAAAAGAGCTGCTTTACAAGAATTAACCTATGTACGGGACCAGCAGTTACCATAAGGGCTATGTCGCTGGACTCCCATGTAGTCAACCGCAGTTCAAGTCCCAGACCCGGAGGCTTAAACTCACCCTGGGTGCGTGTGCATGCATGCCCAAGATCCCAAGAGGAGAATGGAGGAGAAGGGATTGCGGTGTGGCCATCCCCTCTGGGGGGGGATTTCTCATTTTCTATCTCTCTGTCTCTCTCTGTCTGGTGAGCGCACGCGCCCTATAGCAAAAACATCTCCAAAAAATAAGAAAAAAAAAAAAGAATTAACCTATGTACGGGACCAGCAGTTACCATAAGGGCTATGTCGCTGGACTCCCATGTAGTCAACCGCAGTTCAAGTCCCAGACCCGGAGGCTTAAACTCACCCTGGGTGCGTGTGCATGCATGCCCAAGATCCCAAGAGGAGAATGGAGGAGAAGGGATTGCGGTGTGGCCATCCCCTCTGGGGGGGGATTTCTCATTTTCTATCTCTCTGTCTCTCTCTGTCTGGTGAGCGCACGCGCCCTATAGCAAAAACATCTCCAAAAAATAAGAAAAAAAAAAAAGAATTAACCTATGTACGGGACCAGCAGTTACCATAAGGGCTATGTCGCTGGACTCCCATGTAGTCAACCGCAGTTCAAGTCCCAGACCCGGAGGCTTAAACTCACCCTGGGTGCGTGTGCATGCATGCCCAAGATCCCAAGAGGAGAATGGAGGAGAAGGGATTGCGGTGTGGCCATCCCCTCTGGGGGGGGATTTCTCATTTTCTATCTCTCTGTCTCTCTCTGTCTGGTGAGCGCACGCGCCCTATAGCAAAAACATCTCCAAAAAATAAGAAAAAAAAAAAAGAATTAACCTATGTATTCAGCATGACTCAAGTAGAGACTGTTAGATGCCATATTGATAGAGAAGGAAACTGAGGTAGGAAGAAGAGAGGCAATTTGGGTTGGAACCCAAGAGCCTGGCCCAGCGTCCCTACTCTACCTACTACGTTACCTCAGCGAGAATTTAGGTCATCTCTTTCTTGTTCAGCAGCAAATTTTTTCCTACAGATATAAGGAAAGATGTTAAGGAAACAGTGTGGGGCTAGTAGATGGCAAGATGGTTAGGGTGCTGGATTTCCACATGGCTGACCATGGTTTGAGTCCTGGACCTGGTGACTTGCTTTCTCACTTTCCTTCTTTCTGTCTCTCTTTCTCTCTGGTGAGCGCACGTGCTCTATAGTAAATTAAAAATAACAATACTAAATTAAATGAATACTATTTATTTATTTTAGAAAGATTTTTGCGATAGGGTGTGTGCGATCTCTGCAGAGACAGAGAGACATAAAGTGAGAAATCACCCTCCCCCCCCGGGGCGGATGGCCACACTGCAATCATTCTCCTTCATTCTCCTCTCAGGAGTTTGGGCACACACACACATGCACCCAGCATGAGTTTTAAGCTGCTGGGTCCAGGAATTAAACTGCAGCCAGCTGTGTGGGAGTCCAAAAATGTAACCATTACACACATCCACTGGTCCCAATAACTACTTTTTTAAAGGACAGGAAACACCGTTCGTCTTTTACCAAAATGTATCTCTTTACCTTTTGAACAGACTTCAGTTTTTACTTTATTTTATAAGTGCTTTCTAGTTTAAAAAATTTACTGGAGAAAACAACTATAGAAGAATGATGCCGATTCAGGATCAGGGTTCTGTCACGTAAGTGCCCATCTTCGTGGTTCCTTCACTCACAACAGGCCCCCTCTTGCCAGGTGAGTGGGCTTCCAGTGCCAGGCTGGCTGAGGAAGGGTGTGCCGTGCACACTGATGTAGGTCTGCATTGGGGATGACGGTCTCCTCCACTTACCCTTGTCTTCTCTGTGGCCATGGGCTTCATAGTTCAGACCCTCAAGGTCCACCTGGACCTTCTGGTGATCCTGCATTCCCTGAGGTTCAGGGAAAGACGCAGAGGGCTACAGATTCTCTGCTGTGCCCAGAAACACCCTTGGCTTCATCACAGAGTGTCAAATGATTTTTGGGGGGACTCATAGGAACGCGCCTGTGCTCTAGAAAGCCCCTGAGCCTAAAGAGTTAAAGCTTCCTTTGTGCTCCAGGCTTGCCTTTCATCCAAAGGGTAGATCCTCTGGATGTCATGTAAAGATACGAAGGTTTCCGCTTCAGCAAGTTTACCTCTGCATTCTTTTAAAGCAGGTACTGTGGAGTACCGTCATGTCTTGCCCAGGGTACCCTGAGCAGGGTTTTGTTTTGTTTATTTGCTTGTGTTTTTTTTTTAGAATTTTTAAATTTAATTGTGTTTATTCATTCATTTATTTTCATTTGACCAGAGAGAGATACACAGAAAGAAAGAGAGAGGGAAAGTGAGAAAGCAAGTCGCCAGGTCCAGGACTTGAACTGTGGTCAGCCATGTGGGAGCGTCCAGTACCTTAACCACCATGCCACCTGCTGGTCCCCAAATAGTGCTTTTTGTAGGGGCCTTCCCAGGAGGTTGAAGGTTCATTACTCTCAGACATTGAGACCAACAGTGTGACATTGCATGCGTGCAGGCTCTGATTCAGGGCAGAGAATGTCCTGATGAAAATGGTTTAGCCTGCTCATGAGACCTACAGGCAGTTCTGTACCTGCCGCAGGAATCGGGCATGGCGAGTTAGCTCAAGTTCCACTCTGCGACTCACTAGAGCAACTCGTCAAATTGAGGGTCAAACTCCAGCTTACTCCTTTCTAGGAGGGGGAAAATTATGATTTATCTTGTTGGAGGGAAGAATCATGTCTATATTTTCTCAGCGAAAAGACAGACTCATTCATCGCAGAGGTGGTAACGAACCCACAGAACTTACTGTATTTTTGCAGCTGCTTGGCGAGGGAGTAGGCAATAGCCTGAGACGTAAGATATTTCTCTTTCAGATCTTGGAACTGTTGTTGACTCACAACTAGTTGGGAACATAGCTGCTGATCGACCTCAAAGATGTTCCTTTCTGCTCTGGGATCAGACAGAGGGCCAAAGGATCCTGCCATGCTGATGTTGGTGGCCAAAGAGAGAAAGCCAGAGTCCGAGGAGAAGAAATCAAAACACACGATGAGTTCAAAACAAACGAGCTCTTTCTTCTTCAGAGTCAAGGGGTGACAACGATAAACCTTACTGATGACTGTGAAGAGCTTGAGTAACACCCTACAATGCTTGAAAGCTATGTACCATGTAGCACAAAAGCAAGTTCAATGGTCAGAGCTCAGCGCTGAGGCCCTGCCTGTAGCTCAGACCTCAGCCTGCAGTTGCTACAACAGAATTAGAAGGTGTGGGGGGAGGGCATCATGGAATGTTAGGAACCCCTGCTTTCCAACTGCCAGACCGTGCTGATCCCCAAGGCTACCTGGTCTCTTCTGGTGCTCACCACTGATAGGGACCAAACCCTGAGGAGCCACACTCCGCGGCGGCATGTCCACATGCTCATCTCACAGACCTAACCCTTCCCCAGATTTTCCAAGTCTGTTTTTCATGGCTTAGTCTTCTATGTGTATAAAATCTTCAAGGCAGAAATCATTTCTCCAGGTTTATTTTCTTCTTGGCTGTCAATAAATTACCCCACTATTTTTTAAACATTAAGCAGATTTCAAAGCTTTCCCTCCAGTAAAAAAATGTAAAACTTTGCAATGCCAAAATGTAATACCATCAAGATTCTCTGAATCTTCTCCCTCTTGCTCCAAATCTATAAAGAAGGATAGGACAGCAAGCAGAATGGAGGGCCAGCCGATACCGTGGTAGTCAAGGTCACTGGATTCTACAGTACCTGACTGTGCGATTCAAGTCCCAGACCCAGCAGCTTGAAAAACATGCCCGGTGCATGTGCGCGTGTGCCCAAAATCTTGAGAATGGAGGTGAAGGGACTACAGTGTGCCTATCTCCTCTGGAGGATGCCTGTGCGCGTGTGCCCAAAATCTTGAGAATGGAGATGAAGGGGCTACAGTGTGGCTATCTCCTCTGGAGGATGCCTCTCTCTCTAGAAAAATGTATATGCCCTATAGGAAATTTTTAAAAAGCAGTATGTAATTGTAATTGAATAGATTATTAGTGTGGAAAAATTATTCCTTTCTTTTAAAGACTTATTTTATTTAACTTTATTTATTTATTTTAATTTGACCAGAGAGGGGCAGAACAGGAGAGGGAGGGAGGGACA